AAAAAAAAAAATTACGGCGTATACATTTCACATGATAAACCATTTACTAAGTGACCTTAACCTAGTGCTACCACATCAGGGCATCACAATTCACAGTTATGAACAATAGAATTTGTATACTAACAGCTGTAATAATATGCGGTAGCAGTTTTTAAAAACTGATGACAAAAAAGTTATTCCTTTTAGTGTAAAATTTCAAACATCTTTGGTGTTGATATAAATGAAAAATTAATAGCAATTTAGAATAAAAATTTATTTTGATTCTACCTGAAACTCAAATAAAATACAGGTATCATTTAATTAAAATGTTAGTGTAAAGTGATATGGTCCTTTTACACTGTTTTCAGTTAAAAATTCAAATCCTTTTGAAAAACGCATTTTTTTTGTCACTAATGACTTTTATTGCCAGCCAAAATTCTGCAGAAATGTTCAACGATAAACAATCGTTTTAGAACCTAAGTAAATTTGTGGGCACAAAGCAGGGTTCTGGAAGCTTCGAAATCGTATTGAAACGGAAAGTTCGCTTCTTTACTAGCCATATATGCAAGCCCTTTAGCTACAGTCCCTTTAACAGCATAAACTCTCATTTCTGAAATTGCAGGAGAGCCATTATCGCCTGATACTCCTTTAATGAAACCTGTAAAGAATTGTAATTCTAAAGAAATTAAATAGTAAAAAGAACTGCGATTACAAATAGATGTGATAAAATAAAAGATAAATTTCTCTTTGTTAAAATTGCATACTTTTGGTGTTTTTGTAATAAAAATATCATCGTAAAATACTTAAGAAGTTCGGGTTATTTTTTTTTCACCAAACCTTATAAAAAAAATAAAAATAAAAAAAAAAATCCCTTATAAAAATTAACACCAACCTTTTTTCAATAAATTCCAACTTTCAAAGACTGATCCAACCGCCACTATTTCCAGGCAATCAATATTCTGAAACACTGCAATTAAGAAAGAAGTTCTCAAGAAAACGAAGATGGAGCATATGCTATATATTACAGATACCACGTGGTTATTTTTATGACCTTGACTGCAAAAACTTTCAGAAAAAAAAAGAATCACTAGCTAGTGGACGCTAAATAAACCAAAGAAAATAAGTTTGATTTTACAATGTCGATATAAAACTGGGAGATTTCTTTGAAGAAACTACCTCTGAGTACAGAAAAAATCAGCGTGAATCTTCAGTGGAACTAAAAACTAAAATTTTTCTCAAGACTTATACATATGAAATGATTTTAAAAAAAGTAGATTACTGACTATTCCTTGTTGAATAGCTTTTTTTGCTATTATGTCTATGTGACGTCCCAGTAGGACCCCAGCTTCATTAAAAATAGCAGCGACCAGTTTGTCACTTCCATCTAGAATAATAACACTAAAAGTACAGTATTTAAAGCAATATTGCCATCAATTTGATAAAAATGAAGTCAAACTTTCAAAAAAACTCATTAAACATTTAGATATTTCCTTTCCATTGCTTACATTTGGACAGTTCTTTACAAAAACCAGATACTTTAGGCTTTGAGAAAGACTTGTATAGGTGATTTAAAATTTCTAAATCATCCTCGATCTCAAAATAACTATGCAAAAGATTGCGCACTAAGGTGCAATCATGCGGCGGCATTTCCCAGCCAGATGCATCGTCCAAGACATATCTTATAGCTCGAAGTGCAATCCAGATTCCTCCAATATCGAACAACAATTAATGACAACGATATGAACAAGTCTGATAGAATAAAGAAACGACGTATTCACATTGAATATATTTGAAGAAACAATTTACCACTTCCTCTATCACCAACCAGATGACCATTACCTCCACAGCGATAAACATGTTCATTAAGCATCAATAGAGAGGAAGAACCAGTACCTGAGATTACTACTGCGCCACCTTGAAGTTTTCGTTGACATAAACTTTGCGATAATAGCGGTAATGATTAATAAAATCTATAAATCCAATATAGCTTAAGAAAGCGAAATGAAAATATACCGTTTGGTAAAATAGCCTTCAAAGTTCCCAGCGTATCCGAAGTAAGATAAACGTTTTCAGAAACATCAGGATATTTGTTTTTAAAAATACGAACAAATTCTTCATTTTGGGTGGACCCATCCTTTGCTCCCGAAAGTCCTAGACCCTAAAATATTCTATCTTTTTTATTTTCCACTAGAAACCATAAATCTTTTTGGAGAACAGATTAAAACAGAAATAACAGTAACTTTTCCGCGCAGTGTTTCCTGCTGCCTAATAATTTGAGTGCCATTTCATTTCATATTATCCAAAAATGATACATTAAGATTCTTTCCTAATTCTTTGAACGCTGAGATTGTTCAACGTATTGGAATCTTCGCAATTTTATCGATCACTTTCCTAGTTGGTATACAACTGCTAAGTTAAACTACATCGTCGTTTAGTTTATACCTGTTATCCAATCCAGAAAAGATTACACCTCTTATATGCTTCATTTTCATAGTGTTCCAGAGAGAATTTCAAAAAACACCTTGTAATAAAACAGAAATAGGAAAATTATAAAATCACTAAGGGATAAACATTTATCCTGCGTTACATATGAATTATTTATCAACACATCCAATTCAATATAGAAAGTGCTACTTATAAAACGAGTGTATTCTGCAAATTACGAGTGTGAAAATGCGTCCTAAATTTATTGTATCCCAGAACAGCAACGACAATCGGAAAAATGTTGAAAATTGGGCTCACAAAAAGACGAAAAACCCGAAAATATAGGCAAGATACTTTCAAACAAAGAATCAAGGACAATTTACTGAATCAGAACGCTCATCTGAGTATTCGCACCAGAACATTTGGTCCCAACTAAAGAACCGATCTAATTTTCTGTTGCACCAATATTACAAATAATTTCTTGAATCATAACGAACCAGACCAGTCAGTTTCCTAACACCGCAAGTCTCAGCTAGGGCTTCTAGTATTACGGTTGCTACTCGATCAACGGCGTTCTCCAATCCAACGATATGATAGTTTAAGCCTCCAAAAGTACGCGATAGTAGAACATTACCATCATCGTCAACCACAACCAATTTTGAACATGTCCCACCTCTAAAAAACAACTTAGGCATGCAACAAAACTGCGTCAAAAAAGTAACAACAAACTCCATCCCTTCCTCAGAGTTCTCGACATGCAGTCGTAAAAAATCAGCTGCCATTTGCAAACTATAAGCGTACTACCCTTCAACCCCCTCAAAAAAATTAATCATATCAATGAACTGGTTAGACGCACTTATAATATGTAATGCAAGCTACCCACTTAAATTAACAGTTACCCCTCAACACCTCCAAACAGACGCCCAGTCTTCAGAGACATCGCAAACAGCAAATGCGACTGCAAGCTATCGCTTATCAGCCCTCTAACCAACCTTAAGGAAATTAACTAGAGACAAGCCTTATCAGTAAAAAACAGAATAGTGAACAACTAACCAGCATTTTCGCCACAAAGGCCGGAAGAAACAACAACAAAAGAAGGCAAAAACTGAACTTTATTTCATAAACATCCATAAAAACTTAATAAACACTATCGACAAAAAGAAACACAGTCAAGAACTGGCCCCCAAACAAAACTTCAGTCATTATAGAAATCTGTTTTTAAACTTCAGTGTTAAAAGTTGCTCTCCAACAGCAAACTTTAACAAAACAAGACAACAAGCGAAAAGTATGAACACTGAACTGCATAAAGCAAAGTTCAAAGCACCATTCGGCCACTGAATACAAAGTCAAAAACATCTCAACTGCAACAATATCATGAGACAACAATCATGGTTATAAAAAGTAATTGGAAAACAAAAATGACTAGAACAAATTCCAGGAATCGCCGAGCGTGTAAATTAAAAACTGAGCAGGTACCCTACAAAGGAACAACTTTGTTGAAGGAAAAATTATAGGCCTCTAAAAACCACCGTCAGACCGTCAAACAAAGCGCCGTTACTAATATACATTAGCTAAGCTAACTGTAACCCTTTACACGCTGTCAAAGCCCTTCTTATTGAGATCGAGTGTTTCAAATGAATGAAAGGAAGCCATAACTAGAATGGCGTTCTACTTACCAGTAAGTGCTACAGAATCTCGTTTCTCAAAAAGAAAACTTTGAAGACATTTTCCAACAAAACACTCATGATACAGCTGCAGAAGCTAGACTATCCGAACCACTATTTGACCCGCTGATCTGACCATACTGTTGCAAAAATAGACTAGGAATCCAATAATATACAGTATCAGTAGATTGCTCATCTACCCATGCAATACCCTCTTTGACTAAATGTTCAACAACCGCATCAACTCGTCGTTCCTCCCACCTCAGCCTGTCCACAATTAGCTCCTGTAATGACACAACATTTGAAAACACCTTACTCTACTAAAAAACACAAAAAAAACACCACGTTTGATTGAAATCAACGGTGACACGACAGCACTGCAAATTACAGGTACCTTGTTGTTCTCAAATCTTCTTACTTCGGTTATTACTGAGTCTTACTAAACAACGCATAAAGCAACGCCAATCATAAAAGCAAATTAAGAAATTAATGAGAAACATTCAACAAGCACCTTAGTGACATAAGCAGTGTCCTCAGCAAGTTGAAGGACCCGTGAGTGATCCATGCTGAGTTCACCAGGCACACTTTGTATCATAAAACGCCCACTTCCCAAAAAAGGAATCAACTCGAAACCGTTTCCAAGCACTTTTATCTTTTCAACTGCACGCAAAATATCATCACTAAAACGTATTATTAGAAGGCACAAAAAAAACCAAATAAACATTGAGCAAAAAAGAGAACTTAAAAAAAGATGTTGAACAACAATCATTTTTATCGATAAACAATTTTTAAACCACTGGTTCAAGACGAATCCTTAAAAAATAAAATTTAAAAAACCTATAATCAAAAGCTTCAACGATGTCCAAACAACGTAAAAAACATTCTCACGTCGAAATTGGTTCCTTCTTTGTAAAATTCCTTGATCGCATTAAACGACTTTTGAGCTCATCGAGAGTCATCAAACCGCCATTAATGTGGTTTGTCGAAATACAAACTTCTATTATTTGCACGGCTAAGACATAATAAAAGTCACCAAATCCTAGTTTTTCCGCCCAAAATCCCTTGCTTGCTAAAAAACTTACATAATAAACCACAAGAACGAAAAGCTCTAATGCCTTAATGTCTTAAAATTAACACTAGCTTTAATAAAAAGAACTGAAAAAATGGGTTCCACAATGTCAAAAGTTTGAATATCTCACAAGCAAGAGGATCTACTCCAGCAGATGCACACATCTCCTGGAACTGACGTCGAAATTGAGGATTCTTCCGTATTTCATCCCTGTGCTTCCTAGCAAAATCTTCTAACTTGCTTGAAAATGTTGCGAGCTGTTGCGAAAGTTGACTGAGCTGTTGGCTAGCCAACTCAGAACCCTTCGCCTTATACTTCTCCTAAGAAATATCCACGTATCAAAAATCTTGAAAAAAAGACTATAGCCAAGAAAAAAAATTAAATAAATAAAATAGAGCAAAGGAAGAAACGAAAATAAAGAGTTCCTTCTTCAAACGAAAACACTATTTATGTACTTACCTGCAATTCCTTCTTCTGATGGACTGCACTGACTCCAATTGGGCGTCTTCTAGACGCCATCAAACTAAACAGCTACGTAACACCGTTTGTAAATTCTAAATTACAAAGCTGTTAGAGATTGCGTACATCTATGATAATTGTGAACAAGCTGTTTTCAGCAACAACAACAACGACAATCCCCTTCACCCTCCTCCCCTTATTACATCGCCAACGAACAAGGGAGCAAAATAAAAAAGAAATAAAGAAAACAACACAGATGTAAAATTTTGTTCCGTATGAAAATAATGTTGAAATGTGAGCATTTTTTAAAAAATTCCCAGCAAATTAAGTTCCAATCAGCGAATAGAAGTCAAAAATAATAAGTAAAATAAATAACAAAAATCCCGTCGACACACACGCATACACATAAACATTTGCAGCATACGCGCACACATCTATACACCGACACACATACGCACCCATTACCCGACAACTGAACTTGAAACGGTTACAGGTTTGAAATGAATGATGATAACAGGCAGATAATGCAAACTAAATCTACTGCCAGAATCTCGAAGAGGAAAGTTTTTTACCGTTCACCAGATAACAAAATAAATCAGTTTACGCCTATACTGATGTACAGCAAAAAGCAGTATAAGATGACTAACACTTACCTTAAGTTTCCAATCAATTCTAACAGGATGTTGCCATAAAGCACTAGTAACAGTCGTTCAGCAATTATCCAGCAAAAATTCAAATCTCACCGTCCCTCCAACGTCACTAACAGATGCAATGGCAGAAGCAGCAACAACAGCAGCAGCACCAGTAGCAGGTAATCGGTGAAACAATAGCAGCAACAGCGACAGTAATAAAAGTGGCGGGTGTAGTAGTAGTAGTAGTAGTAGCAGTAGTAGTAGTAATAGTAGTAGTGGCAGTTACCTGAATGTACAAATTACATCAGTGTCGTTTTTGTCGGTTTATTTGTGCAAGAACGAACTGCAGCAGCAACCGCAGGACAACCAGCGACACCGGAGTGAATGCAATTGTTGTTTTGCGCCCTGTCAGCTATGGCTTCTGCAGGGCTGCCTGGAGGGCCACGCTGAAATGCTCCGCTTTATTGATTCGGCTCGTTGCGCCCTCTGCTGATAGTTTTGATTTACGCTCAACAATAGTCACAAATCGCCGAAACTCTTCCAATTGGTTCCCGTTCATGGCTGTTCTTTTTTTTTTTGCCCTTTCCATTTGATTCTGTTTCTTAAGTGTTTTCATCCCTCTGCTTCTTCTGTTCATGGCTTCTGGAATAGCAACAAAAAAAACTCAGAAAATTTTGATCAGAGATAATTTCAGATGACAACCAAAAGTGTTCAGCAGCAGATAAATTTTACTCTCCGTCCTCTACCAGTCTAATATTCCGCTGTTTGGCCAAAAAACTGTTAGATTTGGCTGGTTTGATTTTATTGCTCTGATTTCATTTTTCTTCGTTTTTTTACCTTCTTTTTTAGCCTCTGAAACGGAACGTATAGAACTGTGTAAAATGAAAGAATTTTATGGGAAGTTCAAAAGTTCATTCACTGAGAATTTGTAATCTAATCAGTTTTGGGGGGAAAGTGCAGAAAGTCGTGGGGAAGAAAGTGATAGAACCGTGTTTTGTTGGCAGTTCAGTTGTGCTGCATTCAACAGAGGTTTTTGTAGGTTTTGGATCAACATCTTTGGTTGATCAATTAATTTATCTTTCTGTCTGAGTTGTGCTGAAAGAACAGAAAATAAATCCAGAAAAAAAATTTTATTTCTGAGGCAACTAACAATTGACACTGTCCGGCTGCTGTTATCGTTGGCATAGTTGTAGCGGTCAGTAGACGTCGTACAGTCCAGTTGTAAGAGGTCATCGGAGAGGACAGTTCGATTTATCGCTGTGTGGTTTTTAGCATTAGATTGATGCGCGTCAATTCCGTTCTCTGATACATACATACCATTTGGATTGCCTGTATGTATTTTCCTTTCATTATTTACGAATCTTGTAAGGTTTTTTCCCTGTGTTAATGACTGTTATGGAATGTGGAAAATAGAAAAAAACCTTTTCTTTGTAGTGATTCTTCTAGCAATTTCTAGCACTTTTTTACAAGTATCTTCGAATGAAATGTTCAGTTTTTTCAGCGGTGTCTGCAAGATTGTTTAGGAGGATTTTTTTGAATTTAAACTTAGGCATTTGTTATATTTTGTAACACAGTATTTGTTACAAAATGGATTCAGTTTCATCTGGTTTTTTAAAAATTATTTCAGAGTTGATGTTTTGTCTTCCGCAATTCGCAAGTTCTTCCGCTTATAAAAATCACTGAACTTTTTTTTTTTGTTTTTTTTTTCTTCCAATATAATTATTAGGAAGTATTTAATTAATTAAGTTAGTTGACCACATGTTAATATCACGAACATAATCTATCATAGAGCTATTTCTGATCACTACTTTTCTTTTTTTATTATAATGTTTTCTTCAGCGATGCTTATTCATGATTTTCAATCAAAAAACAATTAGCGAACAGCTGTAGTAATTTTACTGACCACATATCGTCGTTTATGACATGGGTGAAGGAAGCATAAAGAACATTTTAGCTTTTATTTAAAAGATTGGGTCATAAAATTGATATGTAGAATTGATATAAGAAAAAATTGTAATGGAACAAAGGTACAGCTCTTGTAGTTAGCCTTTTCTGATATTTTACCACAAATTAATGAAACAGATGATAGGTAATTGTAGAATGCTTGATTTAAAACAAGTTGTTCTTTTTTCTCTTTTTACTCAATTAAGCAGTCAGTCAAATCCATAGAGACTAATTATGAGGAAATATTTATATTTTCAAAAGATTTGGAGGTAAAGGTAACAGTACTGATAAGGTTTGTGCCTTTCTTTTTCTGAGGTCTCTCAGTTTTTTATTTTTTTGCGGTATCGATATCTTTAGAACAGCTATTGACAGGCATTTTTTCCGTGAACCGATTATTATCTGATCATTGATCAAGGCTGCTATTTCTTTTTTATGTTTTCTTAAGCTGCTAAAGCAGGTCAGCTGTTAGACACATATCGATGAGTGTTGTGCAATATAATACGTGTTCTACTGTCTTTAGAAGCATAAAGATTGTCGGTGGTTGCCTAAATTTGCCTCAGTCGTATATTTTGCGTTTCCGATTGTTCGGTATTACTGATTTTGGGGTTTCCCATAAGCTTATTCTGCGAAATTCACTGTCACGGAGTGATTTATCACATAATGATCTTTTTACTTTTTTAATTCTCTGTCAATATTTCTCTTTTTATCATTTCATTTCTAGTAGTCTGCAGTTAAAATTAAAGTTCGGTTCAAAAGCTGGTTTCGAAGACTTCTTCACCCTTCCGCGATTCAATTTAGTACAATTTACACTGTGCAATCCTGCTAGAAGTATCAACTCCTCTTCTAGTTCATTATCTTCTCTCTCACCCTGTTAAAGCTTTGGAATCTTGAAGCCTTGACATTGAGTGATTGTGGTACACAGTCTAATGTCATATGCATTAACAAATTTCAGGATTTATTTATTTATTTTTTTTTTTTGAATCGCTATTTGATTTTGTTTCATTAAGGGAAAGTACATTTTTTGATTAAAATACATAGTACAAAGTTGAAACTGTACTTTGAAAGTTATGAAACGAATTTTACTCTTCGCTCCTTAGAGACTATATTCGGTTTGCTCACTTTTGGTGGTGTTGTGGAAAGGCGTTTCTAACTAAATTTGGTGAAAAAATATTTTTGTTGACTGTTACTTTGTTGTTCTGCAGGTGAAAGTCTGTTTAACATATTTATTTACTGCTTGTAACTAACTGCAACTACCTGTATTTAATGCGCTTGATAATAAAACGTCTGTTTCACACAAGTCGACAATTGCAATTCGTAGTCAATGAAAGATGGACGACAACTCACTACACGCAGAAACCTCGAGAAAGTGATCCAAGGTGGAAAGATGTCGACATGACAAGACATGCTGAACAATACGATGTCGTAGTTGTTGGTGGAGGCCCAGCTGGTTTGTCAACAGCAATTCGGTTACAACAACTGGCAGCAGAGCAGAAAAAAGGTATTTTCAAAAGCTCATATAATTACATGTTGATTTGTTCTTTACTTATTAATTCTTAATTTATTAGTTTTAGTTACTTTAACATTACCGCGGTGGAGTTTAAATTATTTATAGATTTAGGAAGGTGTCATTCGAAGTGAAAGTTTTTAAAATGATAGAATATTTTCTTCTGCATATTGTAGTGCGAAATTGTGTTCTTTGCTTAGGTACAGTGGATTTGTGCTTCTTTTATAGTGAACAGTTGTCCGAAAGAAATTCTTTTTATGTTGCAGATGTTAGACTTTTGTATCTCTATTAGGTACACTAAAAATTTTTGTTATGATCAAACGAATTTCCCGTTCGCAACATTTTCGTTTTTTTTTTTGCAAGTTAGTTAATAGATATATATATTTATTTATATTTATTCTTTTATGAATGAATAAGTAAATAAATAAAGAAGCAAATTTATATCTGTGCCTATATATGTGATTGTTTATTTGTTTCTATTTTTTTAATCTACATTTTCCACCCCAAGTTCAAAGTGATTTTGATTAACCACGAGACTGCCATTTGTGATCAGTTAAGTAAAAATCGTATTTTTAGAAGTGAGAGTCTGCGTATTGGAAAAAGGTCCCTACATCGGAGCTCACACATTATCGGGTGCTGTTATGGATCCCAGAGGACTCGACCATCTTTTCCCTGATTGGAGAAATATGGGAGCTCCTGTTGTTCAAAAAGTGACCGTAAGTTGCCAAATATTTTAAATTTTTTGATCTTTATTTTGTACGGACTACTTGTCAATTATTATCATTCGTGTAGAAAACGGTATTTTTATTTGTAAGTTAGTTTCAAAGTTTAGAAACTTTTGTTCATTTCGTTACTGAAATTTTTATCTCTCGTAATCATCCATGTAAATTAATTGATAGTATCGTGTTTTCAGTCGGAAACGGTTGGGATTTGCACTAAAAATTCCAGGTTTCCTGTTCCTAGTCTTCCAGGAAGTCCACTATATAATATTGGTTACTATATTGTTAGGTATGGAATGTTTTTTTTTTTAAATTTTAAGGTTTTACAAGTGCTTGTAAGTTTGCTGTTTTAGATTAGGTTCTTTAACAAAGTGGCTTGGCGAAAAGGCGGAAGAAATGGGTGTAGATATTTATCCCGGGTATGCAGGTCAAGAAGTCTTGTTCAATTCAGATGGAAGTGTTAAAGGAATTGCTACAAACGATGTTGGGATTGCGAAGGATGGTTCTCCAAAGGTGAGGGGGTTATTGATTTGGAGCATTATTTCACATAGGTGCTGAAGATCTTAATTTATTCTTTCTTTATTTGTCGTTTATCGTTTGAAACGTGCTTAATGTTTTGATTAATAATGAAAAATCAATGTTTTCAGGAGACATTCGAACGTGGTATGGAGTTGCATGCAAAGTGTACTGTGTTTGCTGAAGGTTGCCGAGGCCATTTGTCACAGCAAGTTATGAAAAAGGTGAAATTAAAGTTAAAAATGGATTTAAACTTAATTTTTGGCTCTCTTCTTATGTATTTTGTTTTTAGTATGATCTGAATGCAAATAGGGGTAATATGGTTTATGCAATTGGATTAAAGGAGCTGTGGGAAGTTGATAAATCCGTGCACAAACCAGGGCATGTGGAGCACACGCTTGGTTATCCGCTGGTAAGACTAGAGTTTTTGATTTTTGAATTACATTGTTATTTTAGAGAAGCAAGCAGAGGAAGAATGGTTTATATTTGCTTGACGTAAGATTTGAAGAATTGTCACTGGCCAATGTTTTAGAATTTTTTAACTTGTGAGATAACAGCAGTAGTGTTTTGGCAGCGCGTTCTCACAGTTTTATTCGCTCTTCGTATATATCAGTCTACTAAAATCAGCTATATCGGATTTTTGACCAGTTGTTTGTTACAGAATTTGGATGGTAATGGAGGATCGTTTTTATACCATTTAGAGGACAAAGGAAAAAATTTGGTTTCATTAGGTTACGTTGTTGCCCTTGGTTACAGAAATCCTTACCTTAATCCGTATCAGGTATTTATATAGGCTTTAGTTTTTTCATTTAATTTGTGTGTTTGTTATTCTTATCAAAGCGAGTTTCCTCGCTGTTTCCTGTACAGTCTTCAACATTTCTTCTGCATCTTATCATATCGATGAACCTGTTAGTATCTTCCGAATTCTCTTTATATGAACCAAACAGCAGTGATTTTTTTCAGATCTTCCAACTTTTTAAACAACATCCATCAGTTCGAAAAGTTTTGGAGAGTGGAACCAGAGTGGGTTATGGTGCTAGAGCGATAAACGATGGTGGTTTACAAGCCGTACCGAAATTGACATTTCCAGGTGGTTGCCTAGTTGGGTGTGCAGGTGGCCTTCTGGATGTCGCAAGGCTTAAAGGGGTGCATAATGCTATTAAAAGTGGAATGTTAGCAGCTGAAGCAATTTTCCCGCAAGTAGAGTCTCAAAAAAGTTAGTCTGAATTATCAATCCTATCAAGACCTTGCAGTCTTTGGTCCTATCTGAATTGGCTTTTTCTAGCTATTACACCTAGTAATTATGAGGATATGTTACGTGACTCTTGGGTCATAAAAGAAATGAAAAAGTCGCGTAATATCAAGCCTTCTTTCGAAACCAAACTCGGTTGGTTAGGTGGGATGGTGTATACAGGAATTTTCTATTTTACACTCCGGGGTCTGGAACCATGGACGCTGAAGCAGAAAGAGAAAGATAACGAAAGGACAGAGCTAGCTAGCAAGGTAGATACTGTTGTATTTAATTGCTTTTAGTTATTGAGCTCGTATATTTAGTCATTGCTTTGATTGTAAGTTTGGAAACTATTGTTCTAAGGAGTATGGTTGGGACGGTTTGAAAATTTTTGTTTTTAGCATAAACCTATAGAATATCCAAAGCCCGATGGAAAAATAACATTCGATTTACTTTCTTCGGTAGCATTTACTGGGACTAATCATGAGGAGGACCAGCCATCACATTTAACACTGGAAGATGATAATATTCCAGAGGAAGTGAACTGGCCGCTGTATGCCGGACCGGAGGCTCGTTTTTGTCCTGCAGGTAGACAAATTATTTCGTTTTAAAGTATTCGAAACTAAAATTTGATTTCTCTTTTTTTTTATATTTGAGTAACACTGTTCCAGGGTTTAAAAGGGTTTAGCTCTTTATGGTCATTATTATTATCATTATTATTATTATTATTATGATCACTGTTGCTATTACCTGTTATTACTTTCAGTGATGTATTACTTGATGGACATTCTTTTGGTTTTCAATTTACTTTTCAGGAGTATATGAGTTTGTTCCTCGCAGTAACAATGCAGGGGAAATGCGCCTTCAAATTAATGCACAAAACTGTATACATTGCAAGACATGCGATATTAAGGACACGAAACAGAATATCAAATGGGTAGCTCCTGAAGGTATTTTTCTTACCTAGTACTGTGAGGTTTTACTTCCTTTACTGGAATTTATTAAACTTTTATGACAGTGATTTCACTAGAAGTCTATAATGACTCTTCATCAAATAATTATTTGAAGAAAAGTGCATTAAATTTTTTTTTAGGCGGTGGAGGACCGAAGTACGATGGAATGTGAGCAAAAGGGGATTTTTTAGTGTCAGCCAGTTCTTTTATTTTCACAGTTTTGGTATGATTTTCGTCTGCCTGTTTTTATGTTGCATTTCTTCTAAATAGGACATTTTTAAAGCCGTTTGGTGTTTAATGTACATTACAGCTACTAACTGTTATTGTTACTGATTTCTTTTGTGTTGACGAGCACTGTGCTCTTCAGATTAATTGCTGCCATTTTTTCATTTTTTATTTTTTAGTCATTTTTTTCATCAGTAATTTGTAAATAATGTAATTTCTAAAACTTCCACCTCAAAGTGCTACTTAATTCGCGTTGTACGGAGTGCCCTTGGTTTAAATAACATCTTCGTAATGCATGCAAGAATTAAGTTTTTCAGGATTTTTTTCTTTGTTTTTCTTGGATCTGTCTGTATCATTCGTCGTATTTATACGGTCAAAGTAAAAATCCTATTTTAAAGTTTTCAAAATCTTTTTGCTGTAGTTTTGATCAAGTTGTTATTTATTGCGGGTCAATTGAATAATTTAATCGTTTTTGTATATTTTGGGAGAGGTTAGCAATAAACGGTTTTAAGTTTTTTTGTTGAGATCTTCACCAACAGCTGTTTATTTGTGTTGTGGGCTATTAAGTCACAAGGGAAAGCCCGATGTCTGTGCTTGTTGCGGAGGATATTCCGTACGTTGCCTTTAAATCGTAAAGGTGGGAGCATTTCGGACAATAGATTTGGAGTAAACTTTTTGGTTTGCACGTTGTTTGAACATGCTAATAATTCAATCTGCCTTTGAGTACTTTTGATGTATTGGTAAGACGGACACGAGTGTTTTACTCTCGTTTAGCAGTTACTTGTTGAGATGTAACACAAATTGTTGTTCCTCAAGTCTAACGTACAGAGTGCAGTAACGAAAAGAATAGTAACTAAAAAAGTGTATCAAGGTAGGAGCATCTGATGACATCCAGGCGATTCAAACTCTGTACACTCATTAGCTTTTATAGCGGTTGCTTGGCTTAATTTTTGTGACTGAAGTCAACTGTTTAGCTTAGCTAAAACGGGAAGTAGCTTCAAGAGGTTACAGGGTGGTCGGTATCGTGTCTCAATAAAACTGTGTCTAAACAAGGGAATTAGAGGAGAAGTTCATATTGAGAGGCCATCAAGAAGTTTACATCTCAACAGTTTTTTGTTGTTGGATTGGCGCAAAAAGTCATAAAGTTTTTAGAATCTGAATTATTTGAAAATAGAAGTCATATAGATGTTTTAAGTTGTTGTCATCAATTTTAACTAAAGGACGTTTTTGCTGTGTCAAAATTACTTTGAGTAATGCTGATGGCGGACAGATTTGAAATTACTAATTCTTTTCCAGTCAAATTTTTTTATAATGTATGGTTGCTGAAAAAAAGAAAAAAACTATTTTTATAAAGGAAAGAAATGAATCTTTTTTGTTTTATTCAATATCAAATTATTTTCAATGAATAAACATCAATTGGAAAATATGTGGAACACCTAAGAAGCAGATATTTTTTTTGTTGAATTGAAGTTATATTTTGCTATAGGATTGTTGAAAGCTGTTTACTTGAAAACTGTTGAAAAAAAAGCAAAAAAAACAGAAAAAAGAAAATGATTAATGTTATCAGTTATGGTTCAAAAAAAAAGAAAACCATTGACAGTATTTAACCAATGTCAGTCAGTTGTTTCTTCTTTCCAATGTTTTTTTTTTTCTTTTTTACCCA